GATCCCTGCAGGGGCAGCCCAGTGAAGACTTAAGCGTCTTCTTTTCCCAAATGGCAGAATGTAGCCAGACATGCATTCTTTTTCCTGCCAGTTGGGTAGGGAATGAACTTCCACCCTCCTCCCCATTAAAAGATAGATTCTCCTCTCAGTTAGGTTAATCTGGATTGCTGAGGAATGCTGTCTTTGATATTTCCTGCTTCAGTCCACCTTTCCGGGAGTTGTCATTCACTTATACCCGACTAATGGGCATAGAACTCAAAGAAGCCTTGAAGGACACTGCCTGCAGTTGGCAGAGGGATGATTTAGAAAGCTGTGGTAGGAAGGCCAGAGGAGATGCCCCTTTCCATTGCAATTGGCACTGCCACAGTTCCTTGATTCCAGTGGCAAGCCAATAGGCACCAACATGAGCTGTGACATCTGGTTATTGAACTAAGAGGGTAGCAACCCCTCAGTTTATCTGCTTAAGTACAGAGCTGTGTGTCTTCTTATTTATATATATTTTGTACTTCCTATTTCTTAACTGCCCATCTTCCTTGGAAGGGGCTCTGGGCAGTAAATCATCAATAAAATTAAACTTTAAAATCAGAATAATTTTTAAAATTATAAAAACAACATTATTGAAGTTTCAGAAGGTGAAAAATTCCAAGGTGGGGATTGGCAGTTGTTAATACAGGCAGGGGGCAAGATTCCCATGAGGTCATCAAGCCCCATCATTGTTTGGGCTTCTGTGACAAAGCCAAGTTTTGTGCCCTTTGTAGAAGGCCAAGAGATTGGAGGCTCTCCTCACTTCTGAGGGAAAGATGATCGACAGTGCAGGGATGGGGCAGAGAAGGCCTTTTTCCTATACTTCGCCAGTGGAAATTCTTTGATTGACCGGGTCTGTAGTATACCTTCCCTGCCTGAACAAGTGGGACAGTCTGATGTGATGTCTTCTGTACAAAGCATATATAGTACCTGAATGAAATCCATTAAGTTGTTGTCTTGTTTCAGATTGTTGCTCACATACTGTGTGTGTTTATATGGTATTAAGCCACATAGAATAACTTGGAGGGCAGTGAATGGAGAATTGTAACTTTGACACTCTTGTGTTTAACATAGTAAACTTAAATCCACGTGGCCTTAAAAAGAGGGTAATCCAACAATAAAAATGATTGGCATCTATTTGAACCTTCAGACAATGTTCAGTAGGAATTGATTAGTCCTGCTGTTGGATAATTAAACACTGGAAGGAGAGATCTACACTTGATTGGCATCAAGAGGTTGCTAGTAAGTGCTGTTTGTCAACATTCTATTTTAGAGAAATGGGCAAAGAAGAACACTTTAAACAATGTTTTTGGTGCTGATGGTCTTACATTTTTTATAACATGATTTAAAGGCCTATTTTAAAACAAATGCTTATTGATGTTGAGGTTCTGAGGATTCTTTAATTTTGCAGTATTTCTTTTGTATTTTTTAATTTAGCATAATACTCCAAAATAAAATTTTCCTATTTGTGTTTAGGCATATTGTAATATTTCAGCATTTAAAATAGGTTTATTAGTATTACAGGCTATGTTTTCACACCAATTAAGAAATAGACATTTCTTATTTCAGATTTGAAAGTTTTTGCGTATTACAAGGTAGTCTAAATAGTGCTACAGATATAAAAGGGAAACCCCAAGCATGCTAGGGCTTGATAAGATAGAATTATCAAAGTAGAAAGATTAATACTAGTAATAATAATAAATCATATAATTCTCTTAGCTGTTAAGGTGCTTTGCATGTATTATGTTTTAAGTTATCTCCCTTGTTTCAGGTATTGAAACTGAAAGAATACATATCTTCGGTCTTTTAATTATTAAACCACAGAATCAAAACAGGGAGAGTGGAACTCTTTTCAGGCTGTATTTATTACTAAACATGTGCTGTGTGAAATGCATATATCTCTAACTTTCCCAACTTTAGTATTTACTCATCCAGTGAGATTTGGATGGCAAATTATGGCCAAGTGATGAATATGCAAAAATTAAGGGACTCTTTCCCCTTCAGATTGTTCTTTCTGTTGGCAGCAGTTGTTTAATTTACAGTTCAATAAGCTTAAACTATATGACCCCACTGGCAGATGCCAAGAGGAAGCCTTTTAGAGAAACATGTACATTTGTAGATTTTGGCAGCATACTATTAGAACTGTGTGAAAGATTTAATTCACAAATGTCTTCAGCTGGAAAAAAAAAGCTGCAGGATGTCTAAAACATTTTTCCTAGGATAATGGAAAGGTTTTTAATTTTGGAGAATGTATTTATCTGTTGCTCATTATATATTTTGGAACTAAAATATGCTCCCCCTTTATTTTCAATTGTTATGGTAAAGAATCATTTGGCTCATCAAATGAGCAATTACTTATCTGTGGGGCCCCATTTTCTTGGATTACCATTTGAAATATTGATTGCGATTATACAAAATGGTCACTTCCAAAGAACAGGCCTAGTTAAGAAGGATGCTCATGAAACAAATAGAATTTATCTTCTGAGCTTGGAGCAAAGCATTTCTATTCCTACTGTTCTGTGGAATCCTCTTTAAGTTTTTTGTGTTCCAGGAGAATAAAATTCAAAATATTTTCATTGTTCTACCATAGGAATTAAGTTCATATTAAGCTCCTTTTTTTCTCATTTTTCATCTTAGGGCAACCAAAATAGGTGAAATGGAAGTCTCTGCTTGATGTTTCATACCATGTAGCCTTCTGAAAGTTTATTTGATTATTTGGTCAGAAATTGAGCTTTAAAATATTTTTATATAATATTTATGATCAAAATTTGTAGAAATGGTAATTTAACACATTCTGCTGTCACAAAATGAAACAGCAAGAAAGAATAGATCCACTATAATGCATCTCATAAACAACATGTAACAGCAAACATACTATCTCTGATTGACAGCTGGAGATATCTTCCTAATTCACGTGCACTATATACAGTTTTCACATTTATAAGCCTATGAAAAAAGAACAACAATAACAAAAGCAACATTTTTTTTTCATTTAACTTCCTGAAAGCTGAATAGCATAGCAGCATTATCTAAAGCAGGGGTATCAAACCTCTGCGTCACAGCGGCATCACGTGATATATCAGGATATATATATAGTTGGCAGCTTCCCTGAAAAATAAAGGATCAAATATATGGAGCATGTAGAAAATATCAACTTTAGATTATTACCCATAACTTCTGACTTGCTTGCTGTACAAGCTATAAAATAGCTTAAATTGACCAATAAGTAGGCAGCAATATGTGCTTAACTGACCCTGTCATCCACACACTTTCTTGCACCTACTGACACCAGCCAGTGGTTCTATCAAGGGAACTTGTATATGATGGCTCAGTGGTTAGAATGCAGTATTGTAGGCTAACTCTGCTCACAGCCAAGCAGTCTGATCCTGGCTGGCTCAAAGTCAGTCTTCTATTCTTCCAAGGTGGTTAAAATGAGTACCCAGATTATTGGGGGCAATATGCTGACTCTGTAAATTGCTTAGAGAAGGCTATAAAGCACTAGGAAGCAGTATATAAGTCTAAGTGCTATTGATATTGCAATGTACTGATTAACATATTCTTCAGATCTCATGGATTGAAGAGACAATGTAGGGTAAGCAATCAGAATTTCCTTTTTTAAAAAACTAGCGATAGCCTTAGGAAGTGTGTGTTTTCTTCTCTGAGTCATAACATAATATATATGTATTTCTACTCACTTAGGTTGATTCTGTGGATCTATGCATGCATGGCAGGGCTTCAATACTCTGAAGTAGGGAGGAGTGAGGGGCTTAGAAGGAAGCAGTCATCAACAATCTAAGCTACTTTCCCACAATGATGTGTGGTACTATATCAATTGGCCATTTTTTTGAAGGGGAAGATTCTCTTCATAAGCAGCTTCAAACTTTATTTTTTTGCTGGTGTGCAGACAGACTCTGATTTGGGCTAAAAACAATGGAACACTATCAACCAGTTGTGGGCATTGAAAAACAGTTTGGAAAAAGTGCCTTACAGTGTTTTGCCCAAGATTACAGGGTGTTTTGTTCTAAAGTTAAAACTATAAAAACAGTTTCTAGCTCAGGACACTTTTTATCTGCCTTATTTATTAAGATCAGCTCACCAGGAACTTATGTATCATTTTATGTAATGGGATCCACTGCAATTTTTAGAAAAGAAAAAAATGTACATAGTTACAACTCAGAATTTTATTTGAAAACATGCTGATTTGTCATAGAAAGACGAAGCTGTTTGAACATCTTGGGCTAGTAGGAAGCAACCTCATCAGAATTTTTTCCTGGATAATGGTGTCTGGTGATTCATTATATTAATTGTAAAAGCCACTTTATAAATAAAGAAGCAGCCCTCCATAACATCCAGTATGTGCTTACTCACTTCCCTTGTGCCCTAAACCCAAAAAGGTTGTCAACTGTCCTAAGAAAAATCCCCCCCCCCAAAAAAAAAACCTGCTACTTTGTTTAATTTTACTTTTATAAAGGTGAAATCCAACTGTTTCTATCAGCCTGACATGTAACTGCAAAAAGGATTGTCTTAAACTTGTATTCTGTTTCTTCAAACTCTGCTTTAGACGATTATGGGCAATATAGATTGGCGGAGTGCATAAAAATAAGCACCCAGTTGATATGTGCCAAGAGACATTTGAGACAGTCTTTTGCATCACATGATATTCAACCAGTGCTATTCAGAAATTTGCCAGTCATTTATGTGTTCCATTATTCCGTAGCAGCTGCTGTATATCTAAAATGTGCTTGGATATAAAATATATAATGTGGCGTGAAGATCCACAGACACTGGTATCCTGTAAAGAGAAAGGCTCGCAGTGCAAAGGAATCACTCTTCTGAAGTCACCATTGGATCTTTAAAACATAAAATATTTATTTACATCCACAGTTGTAGTTGGTAAAAAGAGTTCAATATACTGTCAATGTTCACAAAATCATGTTCTGTAACTGTCTTTATATTTCTTCTTTTAAAACTTCCAGTTGTTCCTGTGATTTTGAAAGGACTAACTTACGATGAAAAACGGGGAGCTTGCAGTGTTGGCTCCAATGTACGGGATTCTGCTTGCTATGTATGCTGGGCTTTTGCTCGTGCCTATGACCCTTTAGAACTGAGGCCTTTTGTTAACCAGATTGCAAGGTAAGTTTTAAAAATGAAATACCAATTTCTTTGAATAAAATATTTTTCAGGAAATGAAATAACGTGGCATATTGATGCTACTTAACAGGCTAAATGTAGAGCTATTATTCTAAGATCTTATTTAAAATATTTGCATTCAGGTTATATAAGAGAACATATCCAATATACATCTGTCCAACGCCCGGAGAACCTCTGGATTGTGCCACATTCAATGCATTCTTATTGGAAAACATCCTTTGGAGATAAAATAAATGCCATCATAGTTACAATTAAAGCACTTGCTTTAACTCTAGATTCTTGTTGGCATGGAGTAGTTCATGATACTATTTTCATTATATTTGGTGTCAATTATATACAGTATACTGTATATATGATAGTATATGTTTATACATACATATGTATATACATACATATACCATGTTTCTCCAACAATACGCCCCCCCCAATAGGAAGTCCCAGCATGTTTTCCTAGGCATAAAATGAAATTAAGCCCTCCCCCCAAATTTAGGCCTATTTTAAAACATGCAAAATGGGGGGAAAGGTGGGGGGACTTGCCGTTAGAAGCGCCCCGCGGGCAGCCACACCTCGCCAGCAGCCGGTCCTAATGACCAATCATGGTGGAGCATGGAGGGATCCCTATCCCCACTAAGCCCCTTTGCTTCAGACCTGGGTACGGTGCTGGTTGCAGGCCGGGTCAGCGGGCAGGCGGATGGTGGTATGGATGTTAATTGGCAGAGTTTCGGCCGCTTCTTGGGCTTCTGTAGCTTCCACAGTTCCCGCCAGCGCTGGTGCCCCTCTCATCAGCGCCATCTCCAACAACAGTATCTGAGTCACTCCTGCTTTTTCCCCTGTCCCCATCCCCGCAACAACAGGGGAAAAAAAAAACATTTTGAGGTACTGGGAGTGCCGCATGGTGTGTTTTCATTTAATCCCGAGCAGGTGATTGAGCGTGAGAAGAGAAGAGCGTCTCTGCCACTGCTACCCTTGGTGCTCCAGCATCAGGCTCTGCAAGTTTGCAAAAGTCCCAGTGTACAGCCTGTTCCTGCATTCCAAGCGCACCCAGGCTGAGCTGCAGCTGTCCCTCTCTCGCCAGCGCCGTCTCCAACACAGCAGCAGCAGCGGCGGGAACCGTGGAACCGCTTCTTGGGCAGAGGAGCCGCCTCCATAACTTTCATGGTTCCCGCCGCTGCTGCCGCTGTTGTTGGAGATGGTGCTGGTGAGAGAGGGACAGCTCCAGCTCGGCCTGGGCGTGCTTGGAATGCAGGAACGGGCTGAGCACCAGGACTTTTGGAAACTTGCAGAGCCCGAGGCTGGAGCACCAAGGGTAGCAGTGGCAGAGACGCTCGCTCGGCTCTTCTCATGCCCAACCAGCCTCTCGGGATTAAACGAAAACACACCGTGCGGCGCTCCCAGGTACCTCAAAATGTTTTTTTTCCCCTGTTGCAGGAATGGGGGGAAAGTTGGAGATGGCACTGATGAGAGAGGCACCAGCGCTGGCAGGAACCGTGGAAGCTACGGAGGCCTGAGAAGTGGCTGAAATGCTGCTGGCAGATATCTATAGCGCTGCCACCCACCTGCCCGCAGCAAAGGCTCTTGGCAGGGGTAGGGAGCCCTCTGTGCTCCACCATGATCGGCCATTAGGAATGGCTGGTGGTGAGCCGTGGCTGCCTGGGGGCGCTCTCGGTGTGGGTGTGCGGGGGGAGAAATTAATTCACCCCCGAAATGACATCCTAGCTGTTTTTTGGGAACTCAAAAAAATAATAAGACCCAGCCTTATTATATGAGAAACATGGTAGAAGTAGGTACACTATACATACAAACTATATAGGCTGTATACAAACATTGTATGTTGTGTATTGTTTTATATACATATTATATAGTTATACCCAACAAGTTTCATTATGTGCTTATGAAACTGAATGTAACTGTGTCTGTGGATTCTGCTACCTATGATAAAAATTCTTTTACTAAAGTGACTGTATAGATGATAAAAGTTTGGGGTGCTTTTTTGTTTTTTGTTTTTTTGTTTACTTTTCCAGGTGTCACAATTTAATGTGGGAGCTGAGCAATAAACTATATGTTGAGAATCAGGAACTTTTGGGAGCATGACGCATAGTTTCACCTGTATTAGTATACTTTGGTTTACAGCCAATAACAGTAATCATCTATCTTTTTTTTTTGTCTTGTCTCTTAGTTCTAACCTTAGGTGTGTCACTCTTTCTGTCTGAGAAAAGCCTTCTATTTAGCCACATACAAATTGTTGCTATCTTTTTACAGAATACCAATTCACTCTTTGAACAAATCTTTGCAAACAAAGTTGCACTGATTTTGTGTTCAGGTTTAGCCAAGTGATCTCAGATCTCACAATGCATTTCCCTTAGTTCGGCCTAAAGTAATATTTTCTAATACCTATAACATGCATACTCTGATTGGCTTTAACTGACTGCATGGCGTGGTGAATTTTGACCTAGACACATTAAATATAACAGGAAAAAAGTAGTAAAAATCTGAATAATATTTTCAAGTAAATTTCAGCGCATAACATTGCCTAATTGTGGTATGGAAAGCCATGAAAGCAGAATTTAATGGGTTGTTATTAGTGAGTGTGGATAAGAAGGCTATCAGAAAAATCATGAGAATACAGATCGAACAATTGTTACAATATAATAAAATATTTGAAATATAGTAAAATATTTAATAGATAGATAGATAGATAGATAGATAGATAGATAGATAGATAGATAGATAGATAGTTGCCAAATGAGAGCCAGTTTGGTATTGCGGATAAGGCATCAGTCTCAAAACGTGGTGACTGTGAGTTCTAGTCTGCCTTATGCACAAAGCCGGCTGGGTGACCTTGAGCCAGTCACTTTCTCTATGGCAATCCACTTCTGAAAAACTGTACCAGGAAAACTGCAGGGATTTCTCCAGGCAATTTTCAAAAATTGGGCATGATTGAACAGAAAAAGAAAAAACCCCTGCCAAATATTATAATATTTTTATGGTTTATTGAAAAGCTTCTTTGTGGGAGGTTACAGTATAATGCTGAGTTTCTATAATTATTAAAAAAGACTCACGATATTATTTACTTAAAAGTTCTATTTAGTTTAATTGCTGGATAATTTTGTTGTTTTGGCAGTGGTTAGAGAACTGACAGATAAAAATAATTAGAACTAAAGTTTACTCTTGAGAAGATGGGAAAATTCCTCCTTTATCTGTGCTTCAGAATTGGACTATATTTCAACTCAGAAAGATTTGGTCGAAGTGTGGGAGTGCAGGCAATTTAGTCTTCCCTGGAGTAGTGCATGGTGAGAAGAAAAGAGAGGTGTGGCTCTCATGTAAATGGAGCCCTTGGCCCTAGGGCAAGATTAGCCTGCAGAATCAGGAAATATGAATATTGCTCAGAGCTACATCTTGTGCTGTGATGAAATGCTGAGAATAATTTTACACGAAGAAGTTTGTTGTCTGACGAGTTCATTCTCAAGAGCAGTTTCTGTTACATATTAAGTGAATTTGCACTCCATACAGGCAGTCCTCGATTTACGATCACAAATTGGGCTCAAAATTTATCTTGCTAAACAAGGAGTTTTTAAGTGAAAGTTGTCCCATTTAGACCTTTTTTTTGCCACAGTTGTTAAGCAAATCACTGCAGTTAAGTGAATCATGCAGTCATTAAGCGAATCTGGCTTCCCTCGTAGACTTCACTTGTGGAAAGCTGGTTGGGAAGGTTACAAATGGTGATCATATGACCCTAGGACAGGACATCAATACATGAAAACAGCATGATGATTACTTCATATTTTCATATTGGTTTCGCTGTAAGAAGAGCAAAAACCTAACCTACATTGGACAGTGCAATTTCTCAGCAGTTAAGACACTGGAGTTTTTCATCTAGAAAACCAACAGCCTGGTTTTGAGACCTGAGTGCTGCCCGTTACTTGCCGCAGCTTCTGAAAACAGCAGTTTGAAAACATGCAAATGTGAATAGATAAATAGGTGCCATTTCAGCGAGAAGTTACTGCTTTCCGCATTTTCATGCTGGCCGCATGTGGATGGAAACATGTTAGACAATTCTTGTCTGAGAATCAGATTTGAGCACCACCCTCTTGAGTCAGTCACAACTGGACAGAGGAAATTTTTAAACTTTTAAACCTTTAACTTCACATTACCATTTAGAAGTCTGACAAGCTCATTTTCTAATACACACATTTAAGGACTTAAAACTAGCATACAGATCAACTCTTTTTCAGATCTTATCTTCTTTTTATGATGCACTATAGTTGTTCAGCTGTAGCTCATAAAAGTTCATGCCTTTTAATAAATGTGTTAGTCTGAAAAGGTGCTACCAGATTCCTGATTTTTACTAAAGACTGATATGGCTTTCCTCTTACAATTGTTAAAGTTCTCCCTTTTAGGCCTGTATTGCAATTAGCCACTATTGAGTAATCAGTATTGAAAGATAGGATGTCTTGTCTTATAAATTAAGATCATCATAAGGTCAGTATTTAAAAACAATGCAAATCGCGAACAGGAATAATATGCATATGTTGATATAATCTTGGAAAATAATGAATTTAAAGGCTTTACTTGGGTATAACTATAGCATACTATAAACTAAATACAGAGCTTGAAATTTACCAATCTTAGCCAATAGTGAATGCAGCTAATATAGTTTCTTACACAAAAATGATAGCTCTTCAAAAGACAAATTATGTCAAATTATTCACTGCTTTTATATATATATATATATGTGTGTGTGTGTCTTTGTATGTGTGTATACATTTCTTTTTCCTTTCTCTTTTCAGTGCCCTGATTATAGCTGCTATATTTGACCGTGATGTTAACTGTAGAAGAGCAGCCTCTGTAAGTTTAATTATAATCTATGAGACAGTATTGAAATGATTTTGCTCGGCAGTACTTTATGTTGTTCGGTAGCTATTTCAAATATTTTACTTCCTAGGTTTACATAAAAACAAAATTGGATCTCATGTCTCATTCTTCATGTGCAAAGTGTATTGTCTTTGTTTCATTGTTTTTATAACAGGTCAATATGCCAATCGTATAAAGGAACAGCCAAGATTGAAAGAACAGAGTGATCTTTCTATTATGTCACCATTGGATGATTTTGATTTCAGTTCAAGTTTTTAACATATATAGAAAAGGATCTTTAAATGGTTTTTCAAGAACCTTTAATTGTCACTCTCTTGGTGGGACTACAGCAAACATAAGGATCAATATATTGTATTAACCGTTACTAACAGATTTGACTAAATAGGGTGAGAAAACGAGGTCAAGAAACACTTCATTTCTTTTCTCCCAAATATTCTGCTGGGAGAAATTTCCCTTTCTTCAGGCTTTACTCTGCATTCTGAGAAAATCAACAGGCTCAATTCAGTCCTGGATCTGGAACCGACCATTAAAGAAAAGGATCAGGTCTTTTATAGATACTACTGTCAGATTCTCTGCTCCTTACCTTCATAGTAACACACATTCATGTTGTCTATTATACTATCAAATGTAAACTCTAAAAATCTAAAAAAACTAGTCAGTTTATCAGTCTTGATTATTCCATAACTATTTTTTTGTACAATTATAGTTATTTACCAGCTTCTCTTGTGGTCACTTCATTGGTCATGAACATTAGAAATTCTTCTATTCTAAGCTGGCAGGAATAGCTAACACTCAAGAAGATAGGTTCAAGATCCAGGTGGATCTTGACAGACTAGAACACTAGGCCATATCTAACAAAATGAAATTCAATGTAGAGAAAAGTAATGTCCTACACTTAGGCAAGAAAAACCAAAAGTACACATATAGACTGGGTGAAACCAGGCTCAATAGCAGTAACTGTAAGAGGGATATTGGAGTCTTAGTGGACAACCAGCTAAATATGAGCCTGCAGTGTGCAGCAGCCACCAAAAAAGCTAATGCAATCCTAAATTGTATTAACAGAGGGATACAATCAAGATCAAGGGAAGTACTAATACCACTCTATAAAGCCTTAGTAAGACCACACCTAGAGTACCGCATCCAGTTTTGTTCACCACTTTATAAAAAAGATGTTGAGACTCTAGAAAAAGTACAGAGAAGAGCAACCAGGATGATTAGGGGACTGGAGGCTAAAACATACAACGAACGGTTGCGGGAACTGGGCTTGGCTAGTCTAGTAAAGAGAAGGATCAGGGGAGACATGATAGCAGTCTTCCAATATTTGAGGGGCTGCCACAGGGAGGAAGAGGTCAAGCTATTTTCTAAAGCACCTGTAGGCCAGACAAGGAATAATGGATGGAAACTGAACAAGGAGAGATTTAACCTGGAAATAAGGAGAAACTTTCTGACAGTGAGAACAATCAACCAATGGACAGCTTGCCCTTGGAAGTTGTGGGAGCGCCATCACTTGAGACTTTCAAGGAGAGATTGGACTGCTATTTGTCAGAAATGGTGTATGGTCTCCCACTTGGGTGGGGGGGGGTTGGATTAGATGACCTACAAGGTCCCTTCCAACTCTGATTATCTGTTATCTGTTATCTCTCATCTTCTAAGTCAATTCTTTCTTGGCTTAAAAAAAGGCTTGATTTAGTATTCTCCTATTATCAACTAACACTTTTCATGTATTTTTCATGTACTTTTCTGTTTAAGAAATAAATTATAATATTACATGTATGTCCTCTTGAATATTTCTTGTGAAACATTGAGATATTTGTATCCTTTTTATATCCCCTTTTTTCCTGTTTTTCTATAATATGAAGCAATTTCATAGTTCTATAATCTGAAACAAATGTCACTCTATAGGCGTCATATGATCACATTCCAATGCATGTTTAACTATTTAATATAAATATTAAATACAAATTAAATATTTCTTATGAAAATCTACAATACTGATTGTGAATTAAATCAGGAATTAGTAATTTAAAAGATTGCTATTATTTCAGTTTATTAGAATGAAAATTGTGTTTTCCCATGACATAATAAAAGATAGAAGCAGAAATAGGTAGCCAATAGCATTTTGGATATTTATCAACAATTCAAGCTTAGACAGATATAATATGACTCAACAACAAAAAGTAGAATTAATTAACTAGTTGCCTCTCTCACTCTTCCAACGAAGTCATAGTTTCATTCAAATTTAGTCTGTGTATGGTTTTATATCTTCGCTGAATTGATTTTTCTTCTTCATATTATTGGTTTCAGAGAATAAAACAGATTGATGAGTATAATTTACATAATTTAAAACTTGTTAATTTGAATAGATGGACAAGCTATTTTGTGAAATTAAAAATGTACTAAACTGCTCCAAGTTATGTGCTCAGTTTTCTTTTGATGTCTGTGGGAATTATGTGTAACTTTAGGAATAGGCTGAGTTGTCATCTTTGCACTACATCGTAATGGTAGAAAAAGAAGCTTATCTGTAGGCAGTTCCTGCTAATTACTGAAATTTACTTATATTAGATGTCAAACTAGTTGTCTATCACTTATACTATTCTATTGATCTAAGATAAACAAGCATAGTTAAACTCACCATAAACATCTATTTTTTAATTTTAAAATCCCTCTCCATCAGAGAAAATGAGGAATATTTTATTATTTGATATTTTAAAAGTATATGCAAAAATAGTTCACATTTAGCTATTAGCTGTATATTGAATGTGCAATGTTGTATTTGTGTGTGCATCTATATGTGTCTGTCTGTCTGTGTGTGTGTGTGTGTGTACATGCATGTATATATAGAGAGAATCTGTACATATGTATGCATATAGTGACATGTTTTCATACAGCTTAGATGAGCATAGGAAACTCATGGAAATCAACTGGTTTATTTATGAATAAGCTGATTCTATAATAAACAGCATTTAGTATATTTAAATATATTTGCCCAAGGAATTGAACATGGAATTGCATGAAGTAAATAGACAGCAAGGCTTTGTTAAATTTGAGTAGCTGCCTTGAAATTGTTTTAATCTTATACAGCTCTGCTCAAGTCATTGGACAGAGGAGTTATAAATAGTATGCGGTCCCTCACAGGAAAAAAAAATGCTTTTGTTTATGGAGAAAGGAAGACTGAAATTGCTCCATGGAAGTATTTTGGGGCATTTCTACCCTCAAAAGCATGATTTACCTTCAGTATAAATTCTACCATATTCTCCCTTTCTCCTTTTCTTATATATACAATAACTACCTAGAATTTTAATTTTGATGACAGATACAGATGTATAAACACACACACATCTATACACATTACACGCTTTTAAAAAAAGAAAGAACCAGCAGAAAGATGGGATTTACTTTTGTTTCAGTTTATAGTATATGAAACCATATTCACTTTGGAGCATTTTCTATTCAGGATGTACCTAATTAGTTTAGAAAAGTGCTTTTCTGAAAATTGTCTAACCATTTAAGCTAGAAAATTTACTTTTTTCATTATTTCATCATTATATGGACTGCATTGGAATTGCCAGAAAAATCAAGGACAAATACAGAAGTAATGAGCAACAAAAGATTTCTTCTAAATTTCATTGAAGCCAAGAGATTCATTGTTGTAATCCTAGGATTCTTTTCAAATGCATTGATTGAATTTCTAGCACAATATAATGCAATATAATTATCATCTGTTTGGGCTCATAGTTAAAAAGTTCTATGGCCAAAGTCAACTGGCGAAATCATATCAACTGGTTAAATTGAAGGGAAGTTGTATGTTAATATTGTCATGTTAAATTTGTACAATATCATGTGTACAAAAAGATTTAAGCAACCATTTTTGCCAACTAAGTATGTATTTTGAGCTCTGAGAAACAGAATTCTACTTTTCATTCTGCCAAATACTTGAATCTTACCATAATGTTGTTTTATCAGTCAAGTTCGTTTATCTCCCTTTTCTCTCTCATGCAGTATTAAAATATACTTGAGTTTATTTAAAAAAAAATAATTGATCCAATGTTTAAATCTGAATATTTTGCACTTCAAAACTTATTTCTGAAGTCTATAAATTAGTTATAAATAACTCCAGGCAAGTTAATGCTATCTATCATCTCATATAATTTATAAAAGGAGGAAAAGGAGTTTAGATATATGAAAACATTAAATTTATAGCACACAACACATTTATAACTTTACGGAAGCAGTCTGGAAAATCTCTCAGTAGCTGTATTCTAAGGGCATTGTCTTTTCATTTCTACTGGAAGCATTGTATCAGCAATGAAGGCCACTGTTCTGGGTGTGTCTGATTTTAATAAACACCCATTTCTAAACTCTTCGCACACAGCATATAAATTTAAAACAGCATTAGCACATAACAACTGCCTAAGGGCATATTCAGCTAACAAAGTTGACTTTTCATTTTAAAATAAAGCCCATGGGTCATTTATATTGCTGTGTGTTTGTTTTGACTTCATGATGTGGTGTTTATCTGCAAGCAAACCTGACTCATTTTTTTTTATGTTTGCTCTCTCTGTTCTTAGGCTGCTTTCCAGGAGAATGTTGGTAGACAGGTAAGGTAACTTAGAAAAAAAAAACCTTTTCATTTAATTTTTGTAAATCCACTGAAGCATAAAATTAAGTGTAGGTGTTTTGTCACTTCTAGCAGTGAATAAGAAGTTTGGTAAGTTTGTATAAATGATTTTAAAATCTAAAATTACTTTCCAGTCTTGAAAACGATACAATGATATTTCAGAAATTATGATTTCAGAATATTATTATGTATTGAATTTGTATTGGACTGGAGCTTTTCAGAAATCAGCCTGTGCAAATATTATTTCTTACTCTCTTTGTCAGACAACCCTCCCCCTTGTTCTATTAAGAATGATGGGTGGAGGGGTCATTTTAAGAAGATACTTTTTATTTGATAACAGATACTAAAGCATTGTTTGCTGCAGCAATTTATTTTAATATTTTTTTTAAAATATCATGTCTTTGGCCAAATTTTTCAAATTTAGTTTGTAGTTTGCACTTAGCATAGACAAACACACCCACCTTCCCTGGTGTTCCTGGTGTAAAAAAAACGAGGAGGAGTTGGTCCTCAATTTCAGTTTATGTCCATTTTATTTCAACCAAACAAAACTCAAGTCATTTTTATTTTTCTAACAAAATATAACCAACAAAAAAGGTGTTTATAGAACTTTGAAGTATGGTACTATTTTCTTGAGTTTAATAACATTGAATTTATTGTGCCTGATCTGAAAATTGTATTTCTTGGTGCTTTGGCGTCCATTTTTACACTGACAAGCATAATGGGTCTTTTGTGGTACTTTGAAAGTTACACTCAAAAACTGAATGAAATATATATTAATTAATAAAACATTACTCTGTAACAAGTTTAGAAATATTCAGCAGAAGGACATGAGGAATATTTTTTTAAAAATCACCACTGTATCTTAATATTTTATATTGAAATTAAACTATTCCAAAACTATCCATGTATCAATATCTTTCTACATATAGTTCAATATGTCTTAAGTGTATATCATCCTTAACAGGTTCTGTTTGTCAGATTCTCTTTTCCTAAATTCCTTATTTTTAATGTTCTGTTGCTTTAATGTATGCCCCTCCTCCCCCCAAAATGAAATAATATTATTTGGCCTTTTCATTTTACCAATCGAGATCCAGTTTAGACAGAAACAACGACATTATTAAGCCAAAATTGTAAATCTGTGACCATATAATCTTTTCAAACTTGAAGAATAGTTATTTATATAATTATAAATCCCAAATTGATAATATTTTGTTAAAAACTGTATCCATGGTTAAAATGTATTGATCATGGTAATATTACTGGTATATGGATATACCAACTGGGAAAGTCCATATGGTAGGAGTAAATGTCTCTTCAGCATTTTATGAGTGTGATGGCTAACTCTTTTTAAACATTCATCTGAGATGAATGGGTCCAGTGAAACATGAAAGGAAACAAATGTCTTTGAAATCTTTAAACCATTGATTTGTTCATATGGGTATTCTAAGTCTATTCAGGGTTCTTTTACACATGTAACACCTATATTGACAATATAATGTACTTAGCTGTTTATCAAAAGTTTTGCTTAAAATAATCCTAAACAGATAACAGCATTCACAATAATTCAGGAATTTTAAATGTTATTTGTCTGGGCCAAACTGTAATTTGTTGAATAAATCCTTTATTGGAATGCCCCATTGCATTAAGGCACTGCAGCCTTATTTTGGGCACCTGTTCCTTGATGAATCATTCATTGAATACAGTTTTACTCTTTCAGCATATGCACTGAATTGCCTGGAGTTATTTTAATTAAAAATACACCCAAATTCTTCCCTCAAAGGATGGTTCCAAATTGATTCCTTTTAAATTGCTGTTTTCTGTTTTATACTTGCTTTGTTGTTCACTGTACAGAGTCTTAATTTGCCAGTCTACAAATATAAATAAATAAATAATTAAATATGCTTCCCTTCACACCAAAAAGCTAGTACATTATTTGAACAAAATAGAATACAGTATGTGTTCCATGTAATGTAATATCACACTTCTTCCATTTTAAATATTGCCAGTCCTGCCTCTGGATCAGGACCACAAGTCTCATAGGCTGTAACAAAATTATATTCCTTCCCTTTCTCTATCAGAAAAATCCATTTGCAATGAAGATGACATACTGAAAGAATTATTATGTTGTATGTACAGCAGTAAAAAAAAAAAAAGTGTTTAAGCTCTTTCCTGCCTAACATGAGCTTAGTCTTGATTATGCTATCCTGGAGCAACAATTTATAATTGAAACCATAAATGCTTCAACCTGCAGTTTAACATAATTTAGACCAATTCTTATAATTAATATTCAGTGTGAAAATGCACCAAAAGAAAAAAATAAAAAGATATAAACACAATGTAGGCAAAATACCTATTCTCAAGAGGACCCTTGATATTTTCTATAGCCCTTTAACATTTTTTTTTCTAGGTAGCTTCAAGCTGCTTAGTGACCTTCAGAATGAAGCACTGAATTGTAACTACTACTTTTATTTAACAATGGAACATGACTCACAAAGCATTCTATGATACAGAGTTGATGTTAGAACCTGACTATTTACTTTGTACATAACCATCTTCCTTTAAAAAATTCAAGAAGGACAGAGACTTTAATTGCATCCTCACTTAAGTCTCCATGGCGATGAGTTTAGAAATCTGGGTTGCTTGTAGCCACATTTGGTTTTCTTTTTGTTTTTGATTGCCAGTACATGTTCATGCTTGGTGTATTCAATGTTTGCTGCCTTAGGGATTTGTCAACTTTTATATTTAATGTTAGTCCTGACTCCTACCTGTTCTGAAATCCAAGCCACTCCTTTAGATGTCTCTGCACCCTAAGGTGGCGGTTACCACACCCTCCATTGACTATTTCTCACTGAGATGGCAAAATAGTTCATCTGGTGAGTATGATAGTGCTAGAGAGAGATAGAGAGATACTTAAAAGTCAGTTTAGCCTAGTCTTTCTTTTATCAATACAATTTTCTGAATATTTTAGTTTTAGTTTGGCTGTTGCTTGGAGGTATGTTTTATGGTTTGATTATGGTTGAATGTAAGGATTTTTTTCCTTAGCCAAATTGCCATTTATAAAGCTTATGATCCTTGTACTTAGCCTTTTATGTTGCTCAAATGTTGGTATTTATTACATATGTAGGACATATGTATTGAATATCAGTAGCAACAAAAAGTTAGATTGGTTTTTCAAAGAAAGAAAAGTTTTAAATCCAAGGGGGAGTAGATTATAGGTTCTGGTGTGTCCCAAATACAAGTGTGACAAACATGTAGGGTGTTCAGTTCTGTATGTTGTCTTGCCAACAGTTTTTATCATGGCAAAATTACCTGTTCTCATTATCAAGAAATGCTATGAGTTAACACCCTACTCTGACTTCATCTTTTTTTAAGTGGGTGGTATTTTCGACTTCTTAACCTGCAGTGTTGACATAGTTGATGTGATTTCAATTTATTAGACTCTATGTCCAAATCCTTAACAGCTGCTACAAGTTTTTATGATTATTCTATTTCAAAATAAAATACAATATAATCATCAGAACATAAAAGCATAAGATCCCCCCTGAATCAGACCATAGACCCATCTAATTCAACATTCTGGATTAGAAAGTGTCCAACTGGATGGATTTGAAAAGTTCATAAGTCTAGACCAGGGGCGTCAAACTCCTGGCCCCTGGGCTGGATGCGTCACATGGCTACGCCCACACCCAGTTTAACAAAGGGGGGAAAAAACCCAATATGTCACGTGACATCACCATGACGACATGAGTTTGACACTGCTGGTCTAGACTGTTGGGCATAGCCTCTTTCCATTGTTGCTTCCAAGCAACTAGTAGTTAAGGCAGGTTGTTTATTATTCAAGGAGTGCTAACAGCCATTAATATTGTATCCATTGATAGCCTGATCCTCCATGGGGTCTCCTTTGAGAACCATAGTTCTAAAAAATAATCTCTCAAATTGTTAGATCAAAGTTATTTTAGTCCTTTAAACCACATTCTTTCACATCAATCCATTTGTGTAAAACCAAAATTCTTACCCATTTTATTATGCATTCTTTTTTTTCTTCAATTTATAAAATTTTTAAAAAGATTAATCCAAAAGAAAGTTAGCAGAAATAAAACAAAACTAGCAAGATCATTTTTTAAAAACGGGAATTATAAAGGACAAAAAACAAATTAAAAAACATGTACTATTCGCCCTAGTTGAATAGCTAGACTAAACTTAAGCAGTTACATCGGTCAAAAGAGGAAGCCTACAGAAAAGGTGACAGAATGCTATACAACCAGGCCAAAAACATATTAACAAGAGAGATCAGAGCAGCAAAAAGAAGCTACTCTGAAAAGTTAAAGAATCAATTCTCAACAAATGAACCAGCAAATATGTGGAAAACTCTTAAAAGATCACTGGCTTCAGCAAACCTCCTTCCCAGGCAGAAGGAAATCAACAATTAGCAGATGACCTGAATGTGTTTTACTGCAGGTTTGAAAAGAAACTACAGCCACCTATCTCCACAACCCACATCTCAAACACACCAACAACAGCCAAGCCTCCTACATTGGCTCCAATCCATTGGGCTCACAACCTCTGGTGATCACAGAAAAAGAAGTGCAAGATCAGACAGAAGCCAGGAAAAGCACCAGGGCCAGACAAGATAACTCCTTCTTGCTTAAAAGTCTGTGCTGACCAATTGGCCCCCATCTTCACCCGAATCTTCAATAGATCACTAGAGATGTGCTATGTTTCTTCCTGCTTCAAAGAAGCCTCCATTAAGGAACTGAATGATTACAGACCAGTTGTTCTAACATTTGTAGTTATGAAAATCTTTGAAAGGCTTTTGCTGTTCCACCTGAAGCCCATCACGGATCTGCTGTTAGACCCCATGCAGTTTGCATACCGAGCAAAGAGATCGACAGATGATGCTGTTAACATGGCTCTGCATTACATCCTACAACATCTTGAATCTCCAAATGCCTATGCAAGGGTCCTCTTTGTAGACTTCAG